ACAAAAACTACTCTAAATATGCACAACTCTCACAAGATAAATTCGCCATAGATTCAGTGGCTGCACTCTCATTAAAAAGAGACAATTGGTAGTGGTTTAATCAGAGAATCACTACGCCTCAGGCGAGGGGCAAGTTTGAAATGTGAGACCTTCATAGTAACCTCAGCCAGTGTGGGAAGTTTTCTAGGGTAACTTAACAAGTAATGAATGCCTTAAATCACTTAGAATGTGTCCTCTGGTTTATATTTGTTCACAAAATTCTGTTGACATTTCTAGTTCTGTTTCTCCAAGAAATTTTAGATATTCTGGTTTTACTTTATCTATGCCTGGAGCTTTTCCTATATTCAATCCATTTCAAAGCATTCTATAGCACTGCTATTGAGTTAATTTTGTCCATTGTTTGCCTCTGCATCTTGAGAACTCCCTCAGTTTGGATTGATGTACAAATTCAGTCCATCTTTTTGCAACTGCATACATTTTGGACAATATTTTACAATTTGTTGTCTTTTAAGCACACAATGTCTGTTGCTATTCCCATTTTTTAATTTGTCAAAGATTTCACTTTCTGGTACATAACTCTGAGTATTTATGATCTCTTCCCAATTCCAATACTTCATCACACACCTCATCAGACCATTTCTCTTTAGTTGCCTAAAGGTATTCTTTAATTTTGTCTCAAATTCATCATACCTGAATCCGAAATATTATTTCTTTCCACTTTCTCGCATTCTTATTTCATCTGTCATCTACTCCTTATCACTTTTTCTTTTCCATTACAGTAAATTTTGTTTTCTTCTGGCTGGATGGCTGGTTTGTGAAGCTGTGCGATGCCATCAGCATGGGTTCAATTCCTACATTGGCTGAGGTTACCATGAAGCACTCTCCTACTCACCCTCTCATAATGGCCCTGAAGTTAAACCACCTACAGTCATGTCTCTCTAATCTTATAAGACAATGGCAACTTTAATATTTGTCATAAAGTCAGCAGCATTTTAGATACTCTCTCTCATGCTGCACTATTGACTTTCTATTTTTTGTCCTGAGAATGTTATCTGCTCCTGAATCCTAAGACATTTAGACTTGTTTCTTACATTATGAGTGAATATCTCTCTGATGTTTTTATTCTTCAACATGGCAATCTAACTGGTGACCATCTCCTTTTTTGGAATTTTCAGTTTCTATTCATTTTATACTACAAGTAGATAACTTATCTCTGTTCCACCATTACAGAATTTATTTGATTTCTAAACACATGGCTTGGAATTTGCCACACATGCATAATCTTCATTTTGTTTCCTTAAAGAAAGTTTTGCCATCATCATATAATTTTCTTCACAAAATTGTACTAATATACAAGGTGCTGGTGAGACCATGCCTGGAGAACTGTGAGCAGTTCTGGTTCCCTTATTTAAGGAAAGATGTAATTTTATTGTAGGCAGTTCAGAGAAGGTTAACTAGTGTGATCCCTTGTATGGAGGGATTATCTAAAGAGGAAAAGTTAAACAGGTTGGGACTCTACTCACTAGAGTTTTGAAGAATGAGAGGTGATCTCATTGAAACATATAGAATTCTTAAGGGGCTTGATAGGGTAAATGCTGAGAGGATGTTTCCCTTCATGGGAGAGTCTAGGATCAGAGGACATAGTCTCAGAATAAAGGGCCACCAATTTAAGATGAAGATGAGGAGGAATTTCTTCTCTCAGCAGACTTTGAGCATTTGGAACTCCTTGCCTCAGCAAACTGTGGGGGCAGACTCCTTGTGTATATTTAAGACTGAGATAGATAGATTCGTGATCAGCCGGGGAATCAAGGATTACAGGAAGTAAATGGAGTATAATGTGGGAAAATGTGAAGATGTTCATTTTGGAAGGGAAACATAAGAACAGTATTATTTAAATGGAAAAAAAAACCTGCAGAAAGCTACAACACAAAGGCACTTTGGGTTCTTGAAGGTTCTTATGCACAAAACATAGAAAGCTAGCACACGTGCAGCATGTAATCAGGAAGTCTAATGGAATGTTGGTCCTTATTTATTATATTGTATGGATTTATTATATGGACTATAAGTTTAGGGAAAACTTACTGCAACAAAAATGGGTCTTTTTTCTGAATGGCAGGCAGTGACTAGTGGAGTAGCACAAGAGATCGATACTAGAACCCTGGTTAGTCACAATATACATTAATGATTTAGATGAGGAAACAAAATGTAATATCTCAAAATTTGCAGATAACACAAAGCTGGGTGGAAGGGTGAGCCTTGAGGAGGATGCAGAGATGTTGCTGCGTGTTTTGGATAGGCTGAGTGAGTGGGCAAATGCATGGCAGATGCAGAGATAGATAGAATCTTAATTAATAGGAGAATCAGAGGTTATGGAGAAGATGGAAAGTGGATACAAGGAATGCAGAATCAGCCATCATCCTATTGAATGGCAGAGCAGGATCAAACGTCTGAACAGTGTATTCCTGTTCCTATTTCCTATGGTCTTAAAGAGGCAGAAAGCAGGAAACCAAAGGTCAGTTAGCTTGGCGTCTGCAGGTGCAAGGTGCTAGAATCAATTATTAAGGAACTTATAGCTATTGCCTTTAACGAGCTTTGCATATAAGTATTGAATTGGCTACGCGGGTGATTACTAATGGTAGTTAAAAGGGAAAAAACGGGGAAAAAATCTCATAGTGCTCTTGTAGTGGGAAAGTCACTCAGTTGTGTGTTAGAGCACTTAGGAGTATAACATAAGAAAAGGCGCCTTTAGATAAGGCACACATGGATAAAATGAAGATAATCGGAAAGAGTCAACATGGTTTTCTGAACAGATAATCATGTTTAACCAATTTATTGGAGCTTGTTGAATGACATGTGCTGTGGATAGAGAGCAGCTTGTTGGTGTATCAGAATTTAATTTCCAGAAGGCAGTCGGGAAGGTGTCACAGAAAAGGTTATTGCACGGAATAGGAGATCATGTGGCAGGGGTTTATGTTCGAGCAAGAATAGATCGGCTGGCTGCAGAAATCAGAGTTTGCATAAATGGGTCTTTTTTATGATTGACCATCTGTGATGAGTATCACAAGCATTACATAATCCAGTACTCCACTTCCCACTTCCTGCTGGTATCCCAGGTCCTGGCTGCTGGATAATTACACTTGTGCAGGAGTCTGTTCTGGGGCTTCAACATTTTACAATTAATACCAATGACTTAAATGATGGGAGTGAAGGCATGGTAGCTAAATTTGCAGATGACATAAAGATAGGTATGAGAGTCTGTTGTGAAGAGGACAAAACAAGGTTAATTGAATGAGAAAAAAATCTGGCGGGTGAATTAAAATGTGGGAAATGTGAAGCAATTTGCTTTTGCAGAAAGAATAAAAATGCAAAGTACTACTTAAATGGAAAACTACTGCGGAATTTCAAGTTGCAGAGATGTTCTATTGTGTGAGTCGCAAAATGTAGTTATAGCAAGAAATCGAGAAAATAATAGAATGCTATCCTATATTTGAGAGAAATTAGACTTATGCTTTAGTTGTACAGGACAATGATGACATCAGATCTTGAATACAGTGTGCAGTTTTGGTCTCCTTATTTAAGGAATGATGTAAAAGGTTTGGAAGTGATTCAAAGGAGGTTTACTAGATTGACACCAGCAATGAGCAGGTTGTCTTAAGAGGAAAGATTGAATGGACTAGGCTTGTTTAGAAAACCAACGAATAACTTGATTGAAGTATATAAGACCCTGAACATTCTTGAGACGGAAGATGTTGTAAGGATGTTTCTTCTTGTGAATGAGTTGGGAAGTAGGCAGTATATTTAAAAATTAGGGGTCACCCATTTGGGAAAGAAATGACAAGAAGCTTTTTGTTTCACTTCGATGTGTGTATGACCTTGTAATTCTTTGCCTTAGCAGGTGACTGAGGTGGGGGTCATTGAATATCTTTAAGGTGGAGGTAAATAGATTCCTGTTGGGCAAGGAATCAAAGCTTATTGGGAGTAGATGGAAATGTGAAATTTGAAACAAACATATGAGCCACAAGTTTATTGAATAACAGACCAGGCACAAGGGGCCCAATGGTCTAATTCTGCTCCTACTTCATATGTTTGTATGACATGCCTTGCTAATAGTCCTTCAATGATTTTAATGTCTATGTTACCCATTAAAATGACAGCAATCAATTGATTTAACTTGATAATTACCCTTCAAAATACCACAATAAAATACTTCTATTTTGGCTGGGAACCAGATCAAAGGTCTTTGCTTTGATATTCATGGTCACTGTGTCTGAGAATGACCAGTAATCTTGAACTAATCTCTTGTATTTTATGTTTGCTGGGATTTCTACTCTATTTCTATATTTCTCATCTCCTTAGAAGGAAAGCATGTAATTCTATTTTCCATTTGATCACCTTACTTCTTCAATTCCTCGTAAATTAATGCAGTGTCTATCTATCACCTATATGCAGAAGTCAATCTTTCTATTTTCAAATTTTCAATTCAAAGGTTGTTTTAATACATGTTCCTATTTTCAAAAGATGGCCCCTTTCATTGAGTGGAGCATGCTCAGAAACTGATCTCTCTTTGTGAGGTCAACTTCATCATGAATGTATTGATGTCTTTATTGGGCGAAGGCTTCTCCTTCCCTCTCACTATTTACTAGAGAATTAGTTGTACAGGGCCCAAACTCTTTTTTTGATGACGACTTTCAATTGACTTATGCAGTTGGAGATTCCAGAGCTTTAGAGGTCAATGCCAGAGTTTATGGTCTCACCTGCTGACCTAGAGGAAAGCCACTAATACAGCACAGATCTGTAGGTGAAAACTAGGATATTCAGGTCTGTAGGGAGTTACATAAAATCATAGAATAGTTCCAGCAAAGAACGAACCCATTAACTTGTCTTAGCTCCAGTCTTTTAGTTTCAAAGCGAGATTTAGTTCCAATGTTCAGGGAATCTGTTTGCTTATCACCTAACCTGTTATATTTTTCAACCCATCTGTACCCCTTCTCTTCTCAAAGTCATCAGTGCCATTAATCTCAATCATGGCATCAACAACTGTAATTATTCAGCAGCCTGGATCGGGAATACCAGCAGCAAATGGGCAGTGGAGCACAGGCGTATGCAACATTTGTGACGACATGGCTGTCTGTAAGTCTCCTCACTGATTCATTCTTCATTGGATAATTGTAGCAATGGAGTTGAAGTTGCATTTATAAGCCATTCTTTCCATAAACTTTGAATCAGGGAAAGTAGTGAAAGTGCAGGTGAAAACTTTCCGCATGAGTCTGTCAGTTGTGGGCATATGTTTGGTATTCAGTCTGTCCCCAGTTGTATCTTCAAAAGAGCAATAAATTAGTTTGATTAGAATACGCAGCAAAGGATGAAGAAAAGTACACAGTTCTGTAAAATTTGGAGTGGGAATTGACATAAATAAGTACCTGGTGACCTCCAGCAAAATCACAAAACATGAGTCAGCCATCCACGTAAACTACTCATAATACGTGTTTCCAAGACAGTGTATCAACAATCTTTCTACCCAAGGTTAATTTCACATTGGAACAAGCTACCAAAGGATCCAGTCACAGCCTCATCACTTGAAATCAGCAAAACCACCCTGCTGATTATTCCCATTTATATGTTGATAGACTACAGATACACAATGGTAATGTCCCTACCTCTGAGCTAGAAATCACCAGTTCAGGTCCCACTGCAAACGGAATCAGAGAATCAATACGGTGTGGAAGCAGGCCATTCGGCCCATCAAGTCCACACTGACACTCCGAACAGCTTCCCACCAGACACACACGCTGCACTTTCCCTATATCCCTGCATTTTCCATGGCTAATCCACCTAACCTACACATCCCTGAACACCATGGGCAATTTATTATGTTCAGTCCACCTAACTTGCACATATTTGGACTGTGGGAGGAAACCGGAGCACCCAAAGGAAACCCACGCAGTCACGGGAAAATGTGCAAACTCCACACAGACAGTCGCCCGAGGGTGGAATTGAACCTGGGTCCCTGGTGCTGTGCAGCAGCGGTGCTAACCACTGCACCACCATGCTGCCCAGGTTGATTGTAGAAAATATCTGGTAGACAACACATATTAGTCCATGATGCTGACACAACCAAAGAAAAAGTGAGGCTGGGTTAACAACATGTAAAAGTTATTTCCCTACAACTTCCTCCAATTCCACAATCCTCTGAGAAATTTGTGATCCTTCAGCTCTGGTGTGTTGTGCATCAGTGGATTCCTTTCCATCATCAAGGTCAAGCCTTACCCTCAGCTTTCCAGCCACTTTATAAATCATCAGAGATCCCTGTGGTCCTTTGGAACCACCCCATCAGACCAATATGCAGACATACTCAGCAATTTATAAATTGCCACGGATTTGGCTCAGTTTTTGAACAGTCAGAAGTACCTGACTCTATGAAAATAACAGCAACAATTGCATTTACCCATCTGCATTAACCCAACAAAATGGAAGATCCTGTGATTCAGTGGGTGTTGCTGCTGCCTCTGAGTCAAAGGTCTAGGTTAAAGTCCTTGGCTTGTTGGACAAAGAAGGAATGTTCACAGTACAGTTCAACGGGGTGAGCATTATCCTGATAATCCTGCCAATGCCATTACTTCCTAAAGGGAAAAAAACGGAACTAACAAAACTTCATAAAACATCTGCAGGCACTTCAATCAAAAATTGACATGGGGACAAAGAAAAAGAGCAATTAAGCACAAGTGATTGAAAAGATAGGTTCAAAGTGTAAACTTTGGAGAAACAGTTGGGTTTGGGGAGAGAATTTCAGACCATGGGGACTACACTAGATGGAATCCATGTTAAATATCACCAAATTTTAAATGCTATAGAGTGGAGGCACTCAGTCTGGTGTCTTTCTTACACTTGTCTCTGAGAAATAACACTGAATAATCAGCCAGTGCTGTTCAGAATGCATTCATTTATAGATTGAGAACTGGAAATAGACATTCAGACAATAGTGGGTTGCAAAGAAATTATTAGGCGATTGATTGAAATTGCGAAGTGAAAATGTTAAAGTAAACTATGGTCTATTTGATGTTTACCAAAAGTAATGTGATTTTGGAAAGTAGCGTTCATAGTACTTCTAGAGGGAGATAAGGGTGGAATTTTACTGCTTTAACTGTCCAGGAAACAGACCTGAAAATCCCTAGACTGAGGGAAGGAGTATTTTTTTTAGCATGCACCTAGTAGCTCTGGGCAGTTACTGGAAATGTTTGCAAGGATACAGTACTGTCTCACACAGTCTGCAAGAGTGAGTGCTTTGAGCTAAAAGCACCACTCTTCATATTTCTCTCAGTGAACTAGTTTGAAAAAAAAAACCTGATAATGTTCCAACTATAAAGGTTCTTAACTGTTTCTCATCTGAATCTGAAATGTGGTCCGATGATTTCCCATCATACCAAAACCGCCAGTAACAACAAGTTGTCAACAAGAAATTTGAAGGACTGTAAAAAAGTCACAGAAGGGCAGCACGGTGGCTCAGTGTTTAGCACTGCTGCCTCACAGAGCCAGGGACCTGGGTTTGACTCCACCCTCGAATGGAGTTTGCATGCTGTCGCCATCACTTCATTTCTACCATTTTGGTTTTGACTCTTGAACCACAAAGATCTTCCACAAGCAATTGCTGTGTTCAGGTCTTTGTGTGTGTGTTTGAGTATATTTTCCTATCTGCGCATGTGGTGTAAGTTTCAGGGAAATGAATAAATTTGCATGGTAGCTTAAATGATAACCAGTTTGGTACTTGTTTGAAGACTATATTTTGCTGCAATGAAAGTTACTTTTGAACTTATTAAAAAGTCTGGTGAAAGTGTAGTTTGGTCTAGTTAACAATAAAGAGAAACAAAATTGACCACTTTTGTTGAATGAATAAGACATTTACACTTTTGGATTGAATTGAATTGAATTAAATCGAATGTCACAAGAAAAGTTTATATGTTGCCACTTACAGCACCATCTTAGGTACAAAGGTACCTAGGTACAGTTCTTCAGTCCAAGTTCTTAGGAAAAAAATTAGAAAATAAAGAAATAAAATGTCCAGCATTACAGAATATAGAAATGAATTTGAAAATAGAGAAATAAAAGTTCAGAACAACAGTCCTTCCAACCCAGTTCATGCTGGCATCTAGCCTCCAGTCTGTGCGAGGCCTTGACTCCACACTACGCCAGGTTTCACCTCTAGGCTCTTGAGGCCGGGAGAAGTCTGGAATCACTTTGGGACTGGAAGTTCATGCTGTAGTCATGTTGGGGTGAAAGACCTCCAGGGTGGCTAAAAGACTGCCAAGTTGGGCTAAGAGATCACCACACTGGGCTGAAAGACGGCCACTCTGAGCTGAGAGGGCACCACACCAGGCCAGGAGGAATGGTTTTGTTATGGTTCATGGTGTAATGGAACTTAACGTCCAGCCTCATGAAGCATAATGGATTGAATTACCACAGATTTTCTCTCATTCAATGTAGCGTTAATGGGCATTTGTTAAAAATTGTGGGAAATTGGCATGAAGGCCATTTCACCGGGACATCTGCAGATTTTCTACAATGATGCCCATGGCTAATCAGGAGAATCCACACTGAAATTCAACTCCTAAAATTCTGGAGCTCTATTCATGACAAGTCTGCTTTGAAGTCTAAACACTATTAAAATCATCGAGTCACACAGCTCAGGAAGGCTTTTTGGCCCTTCAAGACTATACTGCAAAAATAAACTGCTGTCTACACTAGTCACACTTTCCCAAGCTAGACCTATAGCCTGGAATGTCATGACACGTAAAGTGCTCATCCAAGTTTAAAGGTTGTGAGGTTTCCCTCTTCAACTATCCTTGCAGACAGTACATTCCAGACCACCACAACTTTCTGGGTGAAAAAGATTTTTCCTCAAATCCCCTCTAAATTTCCTGCCTTTCACTAAGTTAGATCCCCTTGTTGACAGCCCTTTGACTAAGAGAAACAGCTACTTTCTATCCACCCTGCCCATGCCCCTCATAATTTTATACACCTCTATTTGGGATCATCTCTAGTGGAATCAATATCCCTTTGATTTTATGGGAAATGTTAAAAGCTGGTACATGAATATTCTGGTTTACTGTCCCGTATCTAACAGTGTTCTACCAGAGGTAAGAATTCTTAATATGGAGATGCTCTTCTTCAATTTCTTCATTTGCTTACCTTTCCCTCTTCCTTCAACACACTCTGGTCACCTATCCTAATATCTAACATATTTTTTCTTTTATGGAACTTGGGATTCACGAGAAAGGCCACCATTTGTCGCCTAACCTTAATTGGTCTCTAGACCATTTCAGAAGGCAGTTGTGGGTCAATTGAATTGCTGTGGATGTGGAGTCACTTGTAGTCATGGCAAAACGGGAATAGTGGGTTTTCTTCCCTAAAGGGCATTAGTAAACAATTAGCTTGACATTAGTAAAATTTGAATTCAATTATTCCATGGTGGGATTTGAGCATGTGTTCTCAGGACAGCAACCTAGCACTGTGGATTACCATTCCAGTGATACTACCACTACAAGAACATTACTGGGATTCAGTACTAACTTTTGTCCGATATAATTCTCCTGTGAAGTGGTAGGAATGTATTAGTGTATTAAAGGTGCTATATAAATGCAAAGTAGTGTTGTCTTTTGTTCGACATTTCTTGACACTGGTGAGCAGAATTTTTTGCTCGCGCTATGTTTTGAAATGATCAGAGAATGCTTTGGGGAATTATCCAGCCTATTTATTTTACTGAGTTTGGAGCACATTCTGTATAGATTCCATTCGGTGCTGATTCACAATTGGACGCAACTGTAACTTAAATGTTAGATTTGACAGCCTTACTTAGAGAGACAAAAGGACTGTTGGGTTGGGAAATGACAATGTTCACTTTAGTTAAGTTGTTGGCAGATGCAAACTATGAGGTTAGGAATAAGGGAGGGAGAGGAGGGGTGTTTCCTGTATCACATATCCCCAGATGTTAATTCATACCTAATCTGGGACGTCTCAGTTCTAAACGAACAATTTATGAGCTTTCACTTCCAACTATAAAGAGGAAGCCCTCAATGAACAGCTGCGCAGACATATTTCAGTTTCCTTTCTTATAATTAAAATTTCTTGTCTCACATATTTCACTGAGGCAGTCCAATAATGTTTGAACTCCACCTCTGATGTCCAACCTTCAGCACCCACAGATAAAGAGACTGGATGATGTGGGAGGGTAGGGTTTGGAGTTGGGAAATCGAGGGGGAGGCACAGTTAGTTTGCCCCACTTTAAGCCTTGAAAATCTGGCTCAGTTGAAGGCTTCTTCTTTCCCCCAGCTCCAGGGGAGCAACTCAGAATTATTCAGAGGATCCTTGACAACTCAGTGAGACACATCCGTGAAATCCAAGTTTGAATCCAGGTCAACACTGGATTAGATGATCCCAACCAACAGAACAATAGAAGTTCTGCAGAGAGCAGAACATTCTTTGCTGAAGTTACATATGTGTAAAACCGTAACTGGGTTTGTGTAATGTCCCTTTAATCTGTTGACAATCATTTAAAAAAAGGCTGATACAAATTTGACAGACAGTTGGATGAGGTCAAGTGGGCATTCAGATAAAACAGACCCAAACTGCAACTTTGCATTTGGAAGAGGAGTTTAAAAAATGATTAGAATCTACAGTGGGAGGAATTGACAGGTTTGTGGGGATGGGTGGGGCAGTTGATGCAAAACAAAAGGATACAGTTTGTCACTGAAGATTCAGTTTTAAAAATCTGGAAATGAGGAAGCTGGTATCGCTGAAAAAACAAAAGACCTAACTGCTTCACTCGTGCATTTAGGGAGGTAAACTTCTTGTTCTTTGCTGATCTGGTTAACAGGTGACTCCAAACCCATATTAATGTCATTAACAACCTTTGAAGCGCTCTGGCAAACTATGCAGTTACAGAGTCATAGAATCATTCAGTCATAGAGTTATACAGCACGGAAACAGACCCTTTGGTCCAACTCGTCCACATCCACCAGATATCCAAATCGGACTTAGTCCCATTTGCCAACATTTGGCTGATATCCCTCTAAATTCCTCCAATTCATGTACCCATCCAGGTGCCTTTTAAATGTTGTAATTGTACCCACTTCCACCATTTTATCTGGCAGCTCATTCCATACATGCACCATCCTCTGAGTGAAAAAGTTATCCCTCAGACTCTTTTTAAATCTTGCATCGAAAGTGCTAGAGTAGACAAACTACATTAACTGATGATGGTGGATGACTTCTGCCTTCTTCCAGCACATTGGAAATGGCCAATAAATGTTCTGAGGGTCACTGGACTCAAACCTGGACTCTGTTTTCTCTCTACAGATGCTGCCAGACCTGCTGACTTTCTCCAGCAATTTGTTTTTGTGTGCAATGAATGTTTCATTGTGTGTTGGTCTATCTAGTTTTAATCTTCCAAATACTGCTTCTTTGGAGTGGGAGATGGGAGCTTGAAGGAGGGAAAGGTGTGGAAAGATCAACGCCTGTCCTCCATGCCCCAAGCCTTGTAAACTGCTGAAACAAACTCCCATCAACCATCAACCACTCAATAACTCCTATATTCACCCCCACCCAGAGATCACACAATTAGAATGGGGTATTAGAACGAACCATTAAATTGGGGTATTTCTGGGGAAATAGTATGGGAAGGCCTGATCTAGGGAATAGAAAGTACATTAAAAGTAATGTTTATTTTCACAGGCTGTGGTGGTCTCTTCTGCCCATGTTTTTTGGGATGTTATGTGGCGAGTGCTTATGGAGAGAGTTGCTGTCTGGGTTTTTTGCCTGGTGGTATGACTGCACTGCGCACTCATATGCGCATTACATATGGCATCCAGGTGGGCGTTTGATTGATTTATTTTCTTCCTTTAGTTTTTTCCATGACAAGGCCATGAAGGAGACCATTAATGTCAAAAATTCTGATCTGCGATCACTGTCAAATTTCTCTTCCATCTTTTCTAGTCCCTTATCCCATTTGTATGACTGGTCTCCCACTAAGTTAACCCCTTTCCCACTAAACTGTTGCTCCCATGCTAGCTGGTAACATAAGTGGTTTCCTCTGGTCAGGCAATATTACCTTCTCTTTTAATGTTGCCATCATTATCATCCCGGATTATTACCTTCATCAGTGTATTTTTGTGGCTTATCTCTGACCTGTCTTTCCTTTCGACATTCTTCCAAGATCCATGTCCATCCACTCCTTAAATCCTTTCTTGAATCAAAATAATCAGTTTTTAACACCTCCCATTGCACCACAATGACCGTAACGGCAGTATACACCATTGTCAAGCTTGGTGGGACTTGCTCTCTTTTTCAATCATAACCAGAGAACCTCCTGCCAACAACTATCTTTCCAACCCTAAGATCCATACTTTCCCCATTTACATCAACAAGAACTACGGAAATGGGGTCAACTACCATTGATACATTAATGAAACCCACTTTTGTGTTATATCTCTCAACTCTTTCATGGCCTCTGAGCTTTCAAATCAATTGTTCCATACCCGGACTTAAGAAGAGTCACTGTTTCCCTCAGTTAAACGACCATAAGAAGACCAGAACCATGATCTCTGGCCTCTGCCACATCATCGTGGCTGACATCATCCTTTTTCCCTGGCCCCTGATTAATTCAGGCTGTTCACCACAATTATATCCCATTTCACCTGAGATATAGCTTCCAATATACCCCATATACCCCTCATCACAAAGAATGCCTACATCCACATCCATAAGATTGTTCACTATTGTCCTTCTGCCAATTAAATCTCCATTCAGGTATTTATCACTTTTAAACTTAACAATTGCAATGCTGCCCTGGCCAATGCTCTGTCCTCCACCGTCTATAAACCTCAGTTAATTCAAACCTGCTGTTTCTATTCTTTTGTAAAAACATAAAAGATGGGAGCAGCAGTAGGCCATTCTATCCCTCAAGGCTGCTCCACCATTCATTATGATCATGGCTGATCATCGAGCTCAATACCCTAATCCCACCCTCCCCCCCATATCCCTTGATCCCTTTAGCCACAAGAGCTATATCTACCCCCTTCTTGAAAACACATAATGTTTTGGTCTCAACTGCTTTCTCTGGTAATGATCCCCAAGGCTCACCACTCTCTGGGTGAAGAAATATCTCCTCATCTCAGCGCTTATCCTTAACCTATGACCACTACTTGGTGCCAGTACCCAGTCCTACTCATCCATTCCCACTGCTTCCTCATTAACAAATTCCCCAATGCATCAAATTTAGAATTCTCATCCTTAGCTCCGCCAGCTCTCCATCTCTAACTAAAATATTGTTGACCTATTGTTACATTTCCACTTGGCTCAGCATCCAATTCAGTTCCTTATGTCACTAAGAGGTATCTTTTGCTGTTTTTCGACATTAAGATTGTCTAATAAGTTGTTGATATTGTTGCCATTACAGCTATTTGCATTATCCAACTAACCTTCACAAAGGTAGAATTAAACATGAAAAATATAGTTTTTAGAGGCTAGCAATGCCCCTCTAAATTTACTCAATCAGACTTCTTGCATGTGGTTTCAGATCTTCTTGTGGCAAAGTCTCACAATGGGTAGTTCAGCATGGGTAGGAGCTAACCCACTTTATGGAAGAACGTTCTGTAAAATCAAGTAGGATTAACGTACTAACAGTCAGGGAGGTACTTAAACCATCTGTCCTCCTCTCACCCATTCGTTCCTTCACCCAGGAAAATGATTCAAACTATGGAAGTAGGGAACTATGGGAGATGGAGATATGCAATAGATGTGGAAGTTGAAAATTGACTCAGTGGCACACTGCAGAATTCATGAAGGAGAAATGGTACAAAATGAGGTGCTATCAGTCTGCAGTCTAAAATACCTTCAATGTTTGAAAATCTCCCTTGGATTTCAAAAAACCAGAATAACACAAATGGTCAAAATGCTGGAACTCTCTTCCACACAGCACTGTAGGTTTCCATACATTGAATGGACTGCAGTGTTTCAAGGAGGCAACTCATCACCACCTTCTCAAGGGCAATTAGGGATGGACAATAAATGCCAGCAAAGTTCACATACCCTGAATGAATAAATGGAAAGACAAAGTTTAAGGTTTATCAAAGTTTGTAGCTCAGGTTGTGGGTGAAGTTGTTGACTTGCTCGCTGAGCTGGCTTGTTTTCGTTCAGACGTTTCGTCACCATGCTAGGTAACATCTTTGGTGAGGTCTCCGATGAAGTGATGTTCTTCTACTCCACTTGGAATTTATACTGTTTGGTCCATTACGGTGAGCGGAGTATTCCAAGCGGAGTAGAACAACATCACTTCATCGGAGGCCTCACTGATGATGTTACCTAGCATGGTGATGAAAGGTCTAAACAAAAACAAGCCAGCTTCGTGAGGAAAGACAAAGTGCAAATAGAAGACTGTAGAGTTTCATTATGACTTTTTTTTATCCATTTGCAGGATGAGGGCAGTGCTGGTTAGGCCAGCATTTATTGCCCGTCGGAGATACTGTCAACCACATTGCTGTGGATGTGGAGTTGCATGTAGGCCAGACCAAGTCAGGATGGTGGCTTCCTTCTCTGAAGGACATTAGTGAACCAGACGGGTTTTCCCTAACAATTGGCAATGGGTTCATGGCCACTATTAGACTGTTGATTCCAGATTTTTGTTGAATTCAAATCCCACCATCTTCCATGAACTATGGTCCCCAGAACATTACCTGAGTCTCTGGACTAACAGTCCAGTGATAATACCACTAGGCCATCACCTGCCCATCTATCTGATAAATAATTGTCTATTTGGACTGTATAGTATAGCGTTCTTGTTTTTTTATTGACAGCTGCTCTACAATGGTTGGACACTTCAACTCTTTGTTTCTCCGTTGTACAGGGAACCATCTGTCAAGATGCAATGATGACAACCTGCTGTGGCTTATTTGAAATTTGTCGAATGACTCGTGAGATGCGCAGACGCAATCGTTAGTGCTGGGAAGACTGAGAAAAAAATGATCCGTTTGCCTGAAGATGGATGTGCAAACCTCTGATGTAGTTTTAAGATAATAAACTTTTTCTTTCCTCGACACTGCTATCTCCTGATGCCAATATCACCTAGTTAATATTTTAATTGGACAATGTTAAGACTTGTTAAGAAATATAACAGTGTTCAGATCGTGCAAACTGTAAATTCATCAGCTTCATAGAACGGTCATCTTGACATGTCCCATGACCAACTTAATTTGAGCGTTTTTTTATAGATGACCTTCTCAACAATAAGGGTATTTCACCTTACAACATGTCTGTGCTTGTAACGTGTTTACCCCAACTGTTTTAGAAGGAATCATCTCTGTTTTTATTAATTTCATCACATTGTCATTCACAAGCCTGAAGCAGATAGAACTATCAAATTCTTTAACTTTACATTGATCCTTGTTCTTAAATAATCTGCGTAACATTTTAATCAATTCGCTCCTAACTCTTATGAACGTGCATCCACTGTACAACAAAGCATAATTAAAGGACTCTGCAACTAAAACATTCATTGTTGAGCTGGAGTTTCTTACGATTAGTTTAATTCCTTCAGATTGATTCACCTTCCAAATCTTCCATGTCATATGTAATGTCGAAAATTCTGTTATTCCATTTAAGACAATTCATGGTGTAATGGTATTTCAAGTCTCATGTAAAATGCCTGTCAACCATACCTTCAGCATTCTTAGGTTCCATTGTACTATTATAGCTGTGAAATTCCTGTCACCTGTGATAATTGCCAGAGGTACCTCTATCCTCACACTTTTCAGTTATGATTTGCCTATTGTGTTGATGCTTCCAGTCTGTATGTGTGGACAGTTTTGCATTGCTGCGACCATTTAATGCTCCACTTTTAGTATTACTGCTGAATGTTGAGCCTTGCTAGGAATGAATATATTTCCATGAGTTTTTAAGGCTTCAGACATCTGTCCCAAAGTGTGTTCCATTCTGAAAATCTAACACTGGTTCAGTCTATCCATGTTCAACATCTCAGCATAGCCAACAATCTAAAGGAAAGTCTTGAATTTGGATTCTCCGGATAGAAGTGCTGTGATCTTGCACATAATCTGTTAAATTCTATTATATGTTCCTCTTCAGAATATCCATTTTGACATATGAATTTATCAAAGTCTGATCATGCCTAACATACATCTCAGAGATTACCTTTCTGATAAATTGTGTCCAGAATTGTCAATAGATTTTCCAAACTCTCTTCAGTGTGCCTCAAGCTCTGAGAATACTTTACACCTGATCTTATTTATAGTAAAGTGACAGTGCCAAGGTCATATCTGGCTTTTTTCTTGGTAAAGACGTAACACAGATCAACATACCTATTATATTTTCCATTGATCATCATATTCTGCTTCACAAAACATTGGTGGGAAATGATATCCTAAGACTTTTCTAGTTAATAGTTTATTGACTGCTAGTCTTACAGCTGCTTCCACCTAGCAATCCCACCTGGTCCCCCTTCATAATTATTTTTAATTAACCTGTTCAGACACGTTATGATACACCTGTCTGCCACATGAGACTTGAAACCAAACCTTCTGACCCAGAGGTAAGGAGATTACTACCAAGTCATATGTCCTCTGATCCCCCTTTATTTTTTTTCAAAAAGCACCCATGTGGCCAGTGAACCATTGACAAGCAAAGCCCAAGAAGGGTAATGCCTGCACAAAAAATGGTGAAGGGGGAAGGTAGGGTCTAAATCAAAATAGAGTTGGAGGGGGAAATAAAGCACTCCAACCCCCATGTCTCCTTAAAGGCATCAATGCGTTGGTGGGCACCACATGCTCCCTCTCCAAGGACACTCAGGCTTGAACATAACCACGGAAGGGTGGCAGGCAGTTGGTACAGATGACCCCCTCCATGGCCCACCACCTGGATCTGTTTATAGCCAGCCTGGTCAGGCACAGGAACAGACCCATGAGGGGATCCTCCGATCTGCCTGCACGCCTCTGCACCTGGTGCCATTTTGATCCCCTTTTATATTTACTCAGTTAATTTATTAATCAATTCACCGTCAAATGTTTGCTTCACAACTTGCTGCACTGACAGAGGTGAACATTCCAATGATTGCTAGCCTTTGTCATTGCCAATGTAGATAGCTCTATCACCACCTCTCATGTACAATTCACTGAATGTTTTCATTGATGAGGTTTTTTTGACAAAGCCTGTAATGAGAGCAGTAATGCATTACCAAGGAGACCTGATTCCAGATCAGAAATGGACCTTGCATCACATTAATATGAATTGGCTTGGCTGAAAGCATCAGTACAGCTTCCACATGCAGCTTGTCTCCTTCAGAACAGGGAAGTATGTGGAGCAGCAGCGTGTTGGGAAGGACTATAAATTGGTACATTGTGAAGTTAAGGAAGTGTTCCTGCTCCTTAGATTTACAAAGGGTATTATCTTCTGTTTTATATGAGCACCAGGAACCTCTGAAAAATGACCCTACCAATCTCAGTCACAAATAGAATGAGTGTCTCAAAAATTGGACTTTACATCCTAGCAGTTCCATCATAGAAGCCCTACAGTGTGGAAACAGGCCCTTTGGACCAACACTGACCCTCAGAGCACCCACCCAAACCCATCCCCCTATAACCCACACATCCCTGAATACTACAGGCAATTTAGCATGGCCAATCTACCTAACCTGCCCATCTTAGGACTGTGGGAGGAAACCAGTGCACCCAGAGGAATCCCACACAGACACGGGGAGAATGTACAAACTCCACACAGACGGTCACCTAAGGGTGGAATTGAACCCAGGTCCCTGGTGCTGTGAGGCTGCAGTGCTAACCACTGAGCCACCATGCTGCCCATGATCCCATTTCAGGTCTCAAAACTCCATCTGTACACATCCCACAATCACACACCAACTTTTGTGGTGATATTCAGAGACTGCTGCTGGGTTGTATATACATACGTTCATGCATTATGTGAGTAACAAGCTTGGAGGTGATACCCTGATCATCAAACAGTTGCCAAGCAGAGGAGCCTTATTGTTGGAGCCAATCCAGCCTGAATCAGTTCCTTCAGAAGAGAAAGGCTGAAAATTAGGAAAATCAGAATTCTTTCTGACAGATTTTAAATTTTTTTGGCAGATTGAGGTAATACTCTCCACGTCAGGACAACTATGCACCCTGGTACAGCAGCCCTGAATATTTTTAGCTGCATAGAATGCAAAGCTTTTGAAATGCAAGATTTATCTTATTTATTTAAACATTTCAAGCTTGTGCAAAAATTTGCAAATGCGACATTAATAAACTAAAAACAATTCACCTTAGTCAACAGCAATGTTTATTATGATTATAAAGAGAATTTGATGAGATCTGAACTGTTTTGTGTAAATCATGTGGGGTGATGGCAATAGTTTTGGCTAAGATACATTTGATCGTTTAAAGTCTAACTATGCATGCAGCCTTGGTATAATGCGAGATAGTGCTCTTGCCCTTGTAGCAGGTTGTGAGCTCAGGTTTAACACTTGGGTCTGAACATATAATCTATGATGAAATCACAGCTGAAATGTTCTAAGAGGCCTTCATCTGCTCCCTCACATGCTCTTTTCCAATCACATGGACAATTTGAAGAAAAGCTAAGGCCATTTCTCAAGTCTCTTGTTCACTGTTTACAACAAAAACCATCAGTGCAGATTAACTGCCAAGTTGCTTCATCAATGTTTCTGGGCTGTTGCTTTGTGTTATCATCACATTTTCCATATCAGAAGTTCTCAACCTTTGGTTGAAGCGTCCCTTAACAAGGAGATTAGTAATAATGGATGCCTCATCTCAATTATAACACCATATAACACTCTAAGTCATCATTTAAAATGATGGTTACATTCCTGAAAATTGATGCTTTAAATAAAATGACGTTAAGTGAATCATGGGTTTCCATGGTTAAAGCCTCAGTTAGAATCCTTTAGAAATTTTCATGGCCAGATAAACCAATATTCAAGTGGAAATACATAACCAGCATTGTGTATTCCCAGCTAAAATAACTTGCAAAATCAAATAAATTACTAAACAGAACGGAAATACCATATAAATTCAAATTAGATAGCGAATATTTCTCTCACACACAGACATCTATGTTTCTCGCCTACAGCACTCTTGAAACTGAACTTTGTCTGACTTATTCTCTTCATCTCTCTCAATCTGCCTCCTGCTCATGTTGAAAATGATTTCAAGCCTGTACTGAACAGTACAGACATTCCACTGTCTCTCTCTCTCTCTCCTTTTCCAATTTGTCTATCTCTTACTCCCTGTCAAACCTTTTACTTGTTCCATTCCACTCGGTCTCTCTCCTTCTGCAACATGGTGCTAATTGGCTCCCGATGACAGATTTCTCCAATGCGTAGTGAAATGATGATGCACAACTCAAGCAAAACAACGTTTACCCACAAATTGGGATGTAATTTGAAGAAAAAAACCCTTAAAATAAACAATGTTCAAATGAAATTATGTTAAGTGGGGCAATATGGTGGCTCAGTGGTTTGCCCTGCTGCCTCACAGCGCCAGCAACCCAGGTTCGATTCCACCCTCAGGCGACTGTCCGTGTGGAGTTTGCACATTCTTTCCGTGTCTGTGTGGGTTTCCTCCCATAGTCCAAAGATGTGCAGGTTAGGGTGGATTAGCCATGGGGAATGCAGGGTTGATGGGATGGTCAATGGGCTGAATGGCCTGCTTCCACACTGTAGGGATTCTATTCTAATGTAAAACAAGGATTATGTGTAAACAAAATATGAAAGAGCTGCATGTAAAGAGTTTTTAATAATGCTTTTAAGAAAACTAATGTTTATTTAAAATACCTGTCAGATGGATATGCTTGCTTGTCACTGCAGAGTCTTCTACCCTCAACTTCACCCTGACATACAAAATGTGATACCACAAACACATATATAAAACAATTTAGCAAATAATCTGTGTTGATAGCTTTTCTTGTGGAGTCAAGCATTGAATAAGACACTTGGGAAATGGCCTTGACTTTTCTTTAAATTGTCCATGTGATCTTAAAATAGCATCTGATTGAGCAGATGAGCGGCCCCTTAGAACATTTCAGCTGCAGTTTCATTATAGGTTTAATGTTCAGATCCAAGTGTTAAACCTGAGCTCACAACCTGCCATTTGGGCAAGAGTGCTACCCCACCCCAGGGAACCAAGGCTGGCAGTTTTAGGGGGTAATGTCCATGGATTTGGAAGATGAGTGGGTGATCTTTTGAATGAGTCATTAAACTGAACCCACTTGCTTGTTTGGTTGGATGGAAAAGACCCTATGGTACCATTCTGCCATCAGTGAGGCTTGGGTGGAATTGTAAACTCCACTTAGTCTCCACCCTAGTGAATAAAACTGGTAGTACCAAGAGTTCTCCAAAACCAGTATGCTGGGTGGCACTGGTACCTTTGGACCTAATTGCCTGACATTCATGACATCATAGTGCCCTTGAAATTTAGTCTCTAGGGTCATAATATCACTATGGTAATGAAGGAGCAGCTCAGTCC